GGCTGGATTCATGTTTTGCTTGAAAGAGACAAAAGAGAAGAAAGTGAACTATCAATCAAGTTGTGAGTCTTTTTGCTATTTGATTTGATGATCCCTCTTGAAATTTATTTAAATATTTAAATTCCTCTTGAAAATATTTTATACAAAATTTAATTTTTTCCTAAATTTTCCAATGAAAGAAATAAAACCCTCTAAAGAATTCATTGTAAAAACATCATTGTTAATTTTTTTTTTTAACTTTAGTCTTTAAATATTTGCTATTAATTCGTATAAAAAAATTAGAAAAAAAATGAAATGAGAAATTATTTTTGAGTTTTTATAAAACGATCTGCAATAGACAATAGATAAGGGATCCTCCGCAACGGGGTAATCTCAGGCACACTCAGCATGAGAGGAGAAGAGCATCAGCTCATCTTGGATTAGCTTAGCAGATGCCTCCGGCTTCTGACATCAATCGTGGATCCGACGAGGAAAAATTGCTTCTTGCCGTCGCATACGATCGGTAGTTCGGTACTGCATCAAATTTTAGCTAAAAATGAGGAAAGTTGTGTTATTTCGTCATCTTCCTCAGTTGCCAATGGCTGAACTTAGGAGTTTCTTTAGACGAGAGACGTTTGGGTGGAGAGCAACTGGTGGATGGCGGTCGACCCAAGTGCTCCGATTTAGCGCTGGAGGCTTTTTAGGGTTTTTACTATATAAAGGAGAGGAAAGAATACCCAACTTCTTCGTTCACCATTCACGAAGAGGCGGCCTGCGACGGATTATTCGGTTTAGCGCGATTTTGACAGAGGAATTGTTGAAACAATATTTCTTCATAAAAACATTTCAATTTTCCATTTGATTTCGTATGTTTGAACTATTTTTTTTGCTCATACGGTAGAATATAACCTTTAGAAATGTGCATATGAACTCTATCAATGGGGTTGGCTTTCTTTTTTATTGCTTATACAATTTCTTATGGTACTTATTTTCCAAACGTCAGCTATGTTAGGATCTGATTGTTCTCTCATTTGCTCATCTTAGGAAGCCATAAATGCTACATATTTACATTTTTATGTCATGGCCTTACCCTCCAATGTTGTTGCTGCTAGACTTTCATATATAAAAAACTGTGCAGTTTCATTAATTAGTTTTGTTATTTGTGATAATTTTATTTCTTTTGTCCCTTTTTTTTTTTATTATAGGCTTATCAGCCTAAAATCTGATGCATTCATCATGCTTTTTTATATTGTTGATTATATAAAGAATCCATATGCAAATTTTAGGAATGTTGTTGAGATTCTTTAGGACATTTTTTTTTTCTTTCACTTAAGTCATTTATAAAGATATTATGATCAAGAATAGTTCTTAAATAAATAAATAAATAAAAATTTTCCAAAAAATTGTCAAGACCTCATCCTATGTAATTTCCTCCATTCTTTCAAACAAAATGATATTCTCATCTCGTTATTTATTTTTTCATCATGTATTCAATTGGGTGGAATAGTATAGCATGTTGCAGTTTAGAATCACACGTATATATTTTGTATTCCAAGTAATGTGCTTGATAGCTAGATTTATTTTCTCATTGTTTTAGTTTGATATGGCAGGCTCTGAGAGTTCCTGTTCACAGGCTTGTACAAGCTGTTGATTCTATTTTGGTACTTTTGTTCCTTCATGTTCTTAAGTTCACATCATATTTAGTTTTTTATTTGTTTAATGGTGTAAACTTGAGCTCAACTAATACCAAAGCTTGTCATTCATTTTTCTGTAAATGTAATTCTTTCAAGTGTGCTTGTCAAAAGGTTTGGGAGCTCCTACTGGATCTGTTCTTGTAGGTTCAAAAAACTTTATTGCAAAGGTAAAGGTGTAAACCTAGCATTAAACACTAAGAACTATCCCTAAGCATTGCTTTTCACCCTACTTTTTACTGTATTTTAGGCTACCAGGCTTAGGAAAGCCTTAGGTGGATGCATGAGGCAACTTGGAGTACTTTGCGCAGCTGCTTATGTTGCTTTGAGTGAGAATGTTAGCAAGCTTGAGGAGGATCATAGAAAAGCCAAAATAATAGTAGGTCCCATCTAGTAACTCCAGTTTTGCAAGTTTTCTTTTTTGTTTGCTAGTTCTTCCATGAAATGCTTGGATTTGTGAGAGAATTTGTGGCCTGGTGGTTGAAGGAAAATGTTGTTTCTTTGGATCACAAATTCAAGTCAAGTATTTTGAGATTTATTCCTTATCATTTACCAAAAAAATTGAAACTTGAGCTTCACTGCTTATGATGATTAACTTATGAGTTTTGTTTACTATTCTTAAATTATTTGAAATAATTCTTATGGTTGTTAAATTATTTATGTTTTTCAGAAGGATTGAGTCAAATTGAACAATTTAGTGTTGACACAAAGTTGGTGGAGACCAATATGCTTAGTTGCCTACAGTTCAGTGCAAAATCAATTTTGCAAATAACTTAGTTGTTGACACTTTAATTTAGAATCCTGCTGTAGTTTTAATCTTCTTTTTTCATTTTTTGTTTTTTTTTACCATCTTAGATACTTCAGTTTTATCACCTAAAAGGCCCTGTCAAGTCTTGGAAGAGCATGGCGTGCTTGTACTTCCTTCAAGCTCAACTAGGTACAGTTCTAAACTAGTATTTCTTGTTGTCTTCTGCTTTCTATGTAGAATTTTTTTGTAACTTTATTTTGAATTTGTTGGGAATTAAGTAAGATCAAATTCAAATCAATGAAGATAAAAAATAAAATAAAATAACCACCTAAACATGTTAAGAATTTTATATATAGTATTCCAGTTGATTCCTGTCCTGCTTCTCCGCTCTAGGTTTCACTATGTTTTCGCTTGTGTTGTGGTTCTTGTGGAGTATTTTAAAGTCCTGATCTCTCAAATATCATCCACAGATGATCATGTCCGTCTTTATAAAAAAAAAGTAATAAAACAACTCTCAAAGTACTTAGGCTTCCTTTGGGACGACTTTCTTACTGATTAAAACAACCTTTTAGTACAAAAATTAAATTTTTTTTAATAGAAAACATCTTTAAGAAGCAGCAAGAAAACCATCACAAATGAAGTCTTAATTTGCGTAAGAAATTTCTTCGTGAGGTATTAATTAGGCTCCACAATTTAGGCTTTGTTTGGGACGGCTTTCTTACTTCTTCTTAATACTGCTTTCTAATACAAAAGTTAAAATATTTGTAGTAGAAAGCTGCTTTAAGAAGTAGTAAGAGAGTCCTCCCAAATAAAGCCTTAGCAACAATATCTCTCTTGCATGTTGACGACATTCATACAAAACATTTATGAATATTTATTTAAAATTAGCAGTATATTACAGATACTCCTTGAAAACAGTCAAGCTTTTAATGAATTGCTTGCTGTCATAGCAACTTCATTTAGAGGAGAAGAGGATCGCTTTAAAAGTCATACATATGAAAGCTAGGTTCCCTAGGAGTAGACTCGCTGAGTGAAAGTAAAAGTTGTAGACTCGCTGTAACTGTAGGCAGTCTTGCAGGAACTCCTTTGCATCATGTTGCAAAAAGAGGCCATGATGGTACTGTTATTCTACTTCTTTCTCATGGAGGTATATCTTTTTATACGATTTGCATGGAAAACCTTTATAATTCGATGTATAATGAAATGCAGATTTTTTTTTATGTTTCAGCAAATCCTTTAGTGATGAATTATGATTGCCAAACCCCTCTTGATTTGGCCAGAGCCAAAGGAAATTCCAATGTTGTCCGTGCTATTCAGGTATTGTTGAAAGTTAATTGAAATGGCTTAAGTTTTATTCCTCTTTTATCCCTCTGTTTATCTTAATTTGAGACGTTGCCTTATCAAGTTCATTTCATTGTAGAATCGTATATGTTTATTTGTTGGTTGGCTAAGGGAGATTCATGGGCCAAGCATTTTGGAAGCTTTTTCTCCTCAATATGTGTCAAAGAAAACGTTTGTATTGGTTTCTCTTCTTATATTCTATTCTTCTTATAGTTTTTAGAAATTTAGTAGTTGTGTATTAATATCCAAACTGTAGCTAATATGAAGATCTCATACTTCTTTACCGTAGGCCATCATGCAGGAACTCCTTTGCATCATGCTGCAAAAAATGGCCTTGATGGTACTATTATTCTACTCCTTTCTCATGGAGGTATATCTTTTTAAGCGATTTGCATGGAAAACCTTCATAATTCAATGTATAATGAAATGAAGATTTTTTTTTTTATGTTTCAGCAAATCCTTTAGTGATGAATGATGATTGCCAAATCCCTCTTGATTTGGCCAGAGCCAAAGGGCATTCCAATGTTATGCGTGCTATTGAGGTATTGTTGAAAGTTAATTCGAAATGGCTTAAGTTTTGTTTCTCTTTTATCTCTCTATTTATCTTAATTTGAGACATTGCCTTATCAAGTTCTTTTCATTGTAGAATTGTATCTATTTATTTGTTGGTTAGCTAAGGGAGATTCATGGGCTAAGCATTTTGGAAGCTTTTGCTTCTCAATGGGAGTCAAAGAAAATGTTTGTATTGTGTTTTCTCTTTATATGTTCTATTATGCTAATAGTTTTTAGAAATTCAGTAGTTTTGTATTAATATGCATGGTTTCTTGTTAAATTGTCTTCTATTTAACAGTTGGGCTGTTGCTATACCCTGTGATTCTCGTAATCCCACAAATCCAAGGAAGTATAAGCTGGCTATATATCCTAATCTACAGGTATATCAAAGAGTTAGATGCTTAGGGGCTGATTGGGATTACTATTGTCTTTCATTTTTATTTTGTTCATATTTTAACTTGAAGCAAAATATATTTGATCGATATTCTTATGCATTTACTATTTTCAAAAGCTAAAAATAAATTAAAGAAGATGCCGCAGCGCTTCTTCATCTAAGAACATTGAAATGGTGACTAGAAAAGTGGATCTTAGAGAAGCAAGTGGATGTTGCCTGCATTCCATGTGGTCATATGAATGGATGCATGTCTTGCCTAAAAAAGAAGAAAGAGAAGAAAGGGGAGTACTTAATACTTTGTCGTGCCAAAATCGATCAGGTTGTGAGGCTTTATGTTGTTTGACTAGATGATTCTATCTTTGATTAGTTACTCTCTGGTCTATCTGTGATTATTGATGGTTGTAGTAGGTGCTGCTCTTTTTATGGACATGAATGTTAAATTTGTCACAAAATTGAATAGGCTTCAACATGAGATCTGTAGTTGAGGGATTAATTCCAAAGTGTATTTTGTTCTTATCATTCTCGTTGCAAATCAAATGTGGATGCTAGTTCATTTCATAAAAAGTGTGATAATAAATTTACAGTCTTTTATGCGATTTTTGTCCAAAATTCAATACAATTTTTATAATACATTGTGCTTTTAGATCTTTATGCCCCACTAGTTCTCCATCTTATTCAGCAGGAGAAAAATTCATTACTAAATAGAAATTAGATGAGGTACTCTTACCGGTCTTACAACAAAACGACCATTCTTGTCAGGGTTGACGAATGCAAATGAAAGTTTTGCATCTCTTTTCCTAGCTGAAGGTGATGATGATAAGAAACACCATGAAAAGTTTCACTTGCTAATAATAAAACCATCCGCACAGTAAAAAATAGGAAATTCCATCAAAAATACAGATGGTTTCCAAATGTATATCAGATTAGTGAGCTCTCTAAGGCTTCGTTTGGGACGATTTTTTTCTGCTTCTTAAAGCAGCTTCGTAGAACAAAAATTTTAAATTTAATATTAGGATGTTGTTTAAGAAGCAATAAGAAAGTCGTCCCAAACGAAGCATAAGTGCAGCTTCCTTCCACATATAAATTTGGACTTCATCCTTAGGTTTCTTGCCCTAACTGCGAAGTCCTCTTCTAATTTTTCGGCATGACGCACTTGTTCATATATTTAAGCATATATATATCTTTAAAAAACTCCAAAATTATGTCATGGCCTTTCTTGAAATACATTATTTCGCATATCCTGCATTATGCAATGATACCACCATGAACTTGAACCTGTTTTATTGATTCAATTTTATTGATTCTTGCTTTTCAAGTAAAAAAACATTCTTTTCAAAAATATATAGTTTGCCTTATGAATCATTTACTTGTGAATGGACCTTTTACCATAATTATGCTTCATTTGGACGACCTTTTTTACTGCTTTTTAAAGCAGCTTTCTAGTATAAAATTTTTAAAATTTGTACTAAAAAACTATTTTAAAAAAACAGTAAGAAAGTCGTCCCAAATAAAGTCTCAATCTAATAGAACCTGTTTCTTAACACACAACCACTTTTTTGAACATGACTTTTCCACACCACCACAAAATTAACGCTTCATTATTGGAAATATCTCCAAACCTTTCAAACAATGTATTATATACATATTACATACCAGTTTTACATTGTAAAATAAGCACGACATTTGAATTTGAATAATGAAATTCCCACAAGGAGCTTGATCAGACCTGATATAACACTCCAACTGTTCTAGACGGCTATTTTAAGTCTCGGGTATCTATAACATCTATATCCTTCTTCGGAACATCTAACACCTCTCAAAAGGCCTTAGTGAGCACTTGAGAACAAAGCCATCATTAATCTCTCTATAACCATCCTAAAGAGTTCTAGTGCCTTTCTTGGCAAATCTTCTAACCACAAAGCATTCTTTCCTCTCCTTCTTTTGAGTTTTAATCACTTTCACTCAAAGAGAAATAAAAAATATTTTAGAGAAATGTGCGTATAAAGAAAGATTCAAAAATTTATCTACTTACATTTTATCAATATACCCTCCAAGTTAGAGAGAAGCCCTTGGATTCTCAGGATTTTGCTGCCCTTGTTTTAAGGCAAGATTGTGAGGCTTGAAACTTTCCATTAAAAGTCTTAGATTAGCATCCATTAAATGCTTTGGATATTTTCTAGGAGATGGATCTAGGAATGATTTGTGCCAAAACATTTGAAAATCTATTGTGTATTTTATATTGTGATTATTGTGCTTATTTTCTTTATATTATGTTTAATAACTATACAAAACTATTTTTTTAAACCAACAGTTTATCCTCCTCTAGTGGTTTTCACTGTTGACCTTCATCCCATATTTAGTATTGAAGCTTGGATCTTAGGGATTTGACTTCAACTCATCCTAAGACTCTACCAAAACTAGTTCAACTTCATCATATCATGAGGGGTACTCTATTACTTGCCCTCTATTTTTCAAAGAGAAAGTTTATCCTTACTAGAAGACTCATATGTTTATATTTATTAGATCATAAGGCCTTCAGATTTTGGATATGCATAAATGAGATCATACAGCTCCTTCAAAATCTATTTAAAAATAGAGTGAGATTATAAAACATAGAAATATTTTACAATCTGGAGCAATGAATCCTTGAGTTTGTGATTTAGATAAAAATAAGTACAATAGAGTTTCTATTTGTAAAAAGGCATATAAAATGTTGCAAGTTAGTGTTAATCAAGTTAAATACTGACTCAAAGCTAAATTTGTAGATTATGGATTTGTTTCTATGATTTATTCATAAGAGTCCAAAGTTATTGTGGCCTTTATGAGATTAACTAGCATCATCTTTACATAAGAATTAAATATGTGAAGCCATAAATTTATTTGCATTTTCATGGTATATATATATATATATAAAAGCTCATATACATTTTTCACAATTGTTAGTAAAGCAGTTAAGTCACGAACACAGAAGTAATAGCAATTAAGAATCTCAAAAGCTATTATGTTAATGGGTGAAAATCTAGAAGCTGGAAACAAGGACAATAACTAAAAATTGCGGGATGACAGTCAAATATTAGTCTAACATAAGAGCAGAAAGGAACAAAAAAACAATGAAACAGATTCATGACTACATATATATCATCCAATTTAATAGAGAAGCATGACCATCAAAATATGAATACATATATTAAGCATGACATTTTGTTAAAGAAAAACAAATAAATATGACATTCCATTTGCATCTGTGAAGTCCCTTATACCACCACCAACTGCCAATGGTACAAAGACTTTTTTTGATATGTAGCGCAGTACCTGCAGAACATAATATAATTAACATGCATAATAGGAATGTTGATGAAACTTGATTGCGAAGAAAGAACCAAAGAAAATGAACAAGAAAAGGACACAAACCTGAAGCATTGGCAAATCTCCCAAAGGAAAATCACAAAATCCTGTTAAATTAAGGGAAGTAACCTAAAATTTCAAAGCAAATGAGAACAACAATGAGGAGAGAGAGAGAGAGAGAGAGAGAGAGAGAGAGAGAGAGAGAGAGAGAGAGAGAGAGAGACCTTGCTACTGCGGAGGAAGACAAATGGAAATGGTGGGAATTACACGATATCCTCCCCTCCACGAGAGCTCAATAGTAGCCCCGTAGACTAGCCTGCTATCGCAACTGTTCGCTGCCAACTAGAGGAGAAGCTTTGCCATCCTTTCGCTCCCTCCCTCAAGCGTCAGAGAGGCGAACAAAGTAGAATGTCAAATATTTGGGGTAGGCCATTAGGGCATAGGATGGGAAGAAATAACAAAGATTTTAATAACGGTTAAAATTGCAAAATATTTTTTTTAAAAGGATTTTATAAAATAGATAAAATATTATTCTAAGCCTAAGGTAGGTAAGTGGGCCCCATCCCTAATAAACTATCAATTATAATTAAAAAAAGAATAATTATGCCATAAAAATAATGTTAAAGGAATGTATGGGCTTTTAAAGAGATATGAATAATAAAAAATTATATTTCAAGATATTGTAACAGAAAAATAAAATATAAAAAATGAAGGGGTTTTAAGTAAATAAAATTGAGATTACATAATTTTTTATCAAATTTAAAAATTTTAAAATGTTTAATATTTGAAATATTTTTTCTCACAGTAATTAATATATAATTGCATATTAAATACTGAGTAGATATATATATTTTACTGAGTAGATATATTGTTGTTGGTGGTTGGTGGGAGAGGGGGTGGGGTGGCAGGGTGCATATGGCATGCTTGGTAAGAAATGTAAGAATTTTAACATTGATAGTTCTTATATATGTTAAGTGTGGATTACATATTAAAACAATGATTCTAATGGTTTGCAGGATTGACACAACAACCTTTGGGATTTTGAAGAGCATCAACATACAATGAGAATTGCTAAGATTTGAAAAGAGTGCTATAAAAAAAGTGAAACTAATGAAGATGGTGGAAACAATGTTTCATCTTCCACATGTGATTTGTTTGGATAAGCTAGTGGAAGGTGCTTGCATTCCATGAGGTCACATGGTTGAATGCATGTTTTGCTTGAAAGAGACCAAATAGAAGAAAGGGAACTGTCCAGTTTGCATGCCAAGATCGATCAAATTGTGAGTCTTTATGCTATTTTACTTGATGATTCTGTCTTTAATTGAATACTCTATTGTTTGTCATAATAATTCTCTTAACCAGCTTCTAGTTTTGTTTGGGACTTTTTTTTATTTATAAAGTTTTATAAACCTAAGGATGTTGAGTGTCCCCCACCCCTAATAAACTATCAGTTGAAACCATAAAGGAATAATTATGCAAAAAAATAATCATAAAGGAATGTATAAAATTTTGCTTATGCAGTTTGATCTCAAATACAGATAAGTTTAAATGTATTTATTACTTGAAAATATACAATTTTTTCTCACAATAATTAATATATAATTACATATTAAATATTGA